GAGTGTACATGCATTTGGTGCAAAATGGGTCCAAAAATGGGGTTGTGAAGTGCCCCACCCGAGCCAACAAAAAAATCAGCCTGCACTGTCCTTGGGTAATCAATTAGCCGATCGACTGCCGAATGACCGAGTAGTCGACCGGCTAAAGAGAAAGTTGGTCATTTTGCTTCGGTTCAGTCCAGCTTTGCTCCAGTTGTTTGATGGGCCTTAAACACTTGGCCAAAGCAAGCTTTGGGTTAGGAACAAAGCTCAAATTTCATCTTTTACTAAGGATTTTGTGGGAATTTTTTTTTTTTATTTTCATCATCGGGTGATCAAAAGAAAGCGCCCAAGTCTTAGGGTTGGTTAAAATAGGGTGTCTACATTTACTATTATGCTTGGCCACGCTTGAGGAATGCCACCCTATGATGTACTCGAAACAATAAGAAATTCTTAATTTGTCAGCTCCAATTTGGAATTGCATGTACTAAGACTAGTCTGAATTTATCCTAACTCCCTTAAAATCTCATTCATAACCAATTTGAGCCTCATTAGGTCCCTATGATCCAATTATATTCTATTCTCTCTTGACTTTGCACAAGTTTAAAAAAGATATTGCCTTTAGCACATTATTTTATGTATAAAAAAAAAGTTTAGAATTTTTGAAAATCATTCATGTTAGTTTGTAAAGTTTTCAAAGAGCATTCCAATAATACGAAAAATCTTATTTCAAACGAAATTTTAGTAGACATTTTTTGATCACTCAACTATAAAGGATAAAATGGTCTTTTCACAAAATCTACAAACCATAGTTGGACCGAGCTTTTTATATTTTATTTTGGGCCTACTTTATTATTTAGTTTGGACTAATTTTCAAAAAAAAAAAAAAAAGGTGGCCCAAGCCCAAAATCCATTTTGAAAACATTTTCCCTCACTTAGTTAAGGTTGGAAAAAAATTACAAAAAAAAGCGCGCAACGCTATATGACCGAATCAGCCCTCTTCTATGGTCGAATCAGGTCCAACAACTAATTTTTCGTTATGGTAATTTTTTACTGTTCAGCACAGTTGCTCTTATTGGTATTTGAAAATTTGCAATCCCACATCATTTTTTAGCTAAAAAATACTCCTCTAAGAGCCTATATAAACCCCCCTCCCCCTTCACTTTCAATATTTTTCGTTCAAGGTTTGAGTTCAAGAAGCCATTTTCCTAATTTAAGAGATTACTCTAAATACTTATAGAAATCTTGGATATCTAGCACCTTTTGTGCATTGACTTGGCCATTCTAGTATAAAGTTTTCGTGTTGAGTCTAGTCTCGAGCCATTCACACAAAGATGAGCCAAGAGTTCTTCCAAGCAATGAGAAAAACTTAAGGGTAGCAAGGAATTCACCATTGCAGTTCTATGGTTCGAAAGGTTAGTGTTTTTCTTTCTTTTTATTATTGTTGTTCATTTTTTGTCTTTCATTTTCGGTCATATGAGCATATGACCCATATGCGATCAAGTCATTTTTGCCATAGTTGCATATAGGTTAGCTATCTAAAGTTTTGTTTATTTTGTATATCCCTCATGCATGTTTCCAATCCTTGTCTAGCCTCTTATATTTTGCTTATTTCCCTCTTTATGCATACCTCCTATTCTAGCTCTCCCATACTTTTTTTTGTTGAGGCATGCCATGTATAAGTCTTACCAATTTTAGATTTAAAACTGTCATGATGATTAGTAGAGGTAAGGTGATGTGTGTGCGTAAAACATTCATATCTCGTACCTAAGTCCCATAATTGAATTCTCTGGTAATGATTGATCAGTTGCTGTTAGGGAGTCATTTTATGATTCTTGGTCTTTAAAACCAAGTGGAGGATCTGAGTTTGGATTATTTCACTACAATAAAACTGGATTTTTACGGTTTCACATCATTGACATACAGTAAATGCAAGCTGTGATTTCTCACTTTTACAGGTTGCTTTTTTTGCATGTCGTAAATAATTTTCCAACCATGATGTATCTATTGCGTAGGTCGTGAATGCTAATAACGATGATTTTTTTACGGCTTGCAATATTAGTCGTAAATAATAAAACTTTCTATGACATGCATATGGCATGCCGTTAATACATTAACTATACACGACACGCGTTCACCAGTCATTAAAAATATTAAACATTTCACGGCGCACAAAAAGCCAGTCGTTAAAAATTACACTTTTCATAACACACAAAAAGCCTGTCATTTAAAATATTGCACTTTCCATGACACGCAATTGCTATCGTGAAAGGCATGATCGAAAAAAAAATAGCACCAAAATGAAAATTTCAGTGCTAAACACCAAAAAAAAAATTAAAAATAATAATAATCAAAACCCTAAATCTTCAGCCCCAACATCCTCTCTCTCTCTCTCTGTCTCTCTCTCTCTCTCTCTCTCTCTAAGTCTTCGTCTATTTCTTTGTCTCTCTGACATTCACATTCACACTCACATAAGCACAAACCCTAGGCCACCATTCAACACCAAAAAAGCTGTTAGACCACTCAATTTGCCTCAAAGAATTATCAAGCCCTAACACATCTCTCGCTCTCTCTCTCTCTCTCTCTCTCTCTCTCTCTCTCTTGACAATGGCGAGCACTTTCTATTCCAATTTCCATTATTTCGACAACCTAATCGTCGTCAGAATCTTCGTCTACACTACCATAGTCTGCGAGGCAATCTCATGGGTTCTAATCTATCGAACAACCTCTTACAAGTCCATCAAATTTTCCATCGACAAAGCTTCAAAGAAGCTCAAGACCATGAAGACGGACTCTAACCCTTCCAAGCTCAACCTCAAGAAGTCCAAGACCAAGAAGATCCATCGCGTCGAGTCCAACCACGATCTCTCCCTCTTCAAGTTCAAATCTAGCACTGTCGTCGCTCTCGCCCTCTTCGGCCTCTTGAACTCTCTCTTCAAAGGCAAGGCCGTCGTGAAACTTCCCTTTGTTCCTGCCCGAATTGTCCAGAAGATGAGCCACAGAGGCTTGCAAGGGGACGATCTGACTGATTATTCTATGGTGTGTTTGTACTTTCTGTGTTCGATTAGTATTCGGTCCAATTTGTAGAAGTTTTTAGGGTTTTCGCCACCAAGAGGTGCCGCCGGAGCAGGGCTTTTCCCAATTCTAGATCCCTAGAGCAATTGATCTAATCCAAATCCTAATTGATCAGTTTTCAGTACCTTACTTCCTTCTCAGTTATTTTGAAATTTTTAGTTTTGGTTGTGTAATTGTGGGATTTTCTAATGAGTACTTGAATTCATTTTAATTCAAATAGAATTTATGGATTTATCTGATACTTGATCTTTAAAATATATCCCTTGCTAGGACTACATGTGTATGTGCAGTTGTGCACTATACAATTTTGATGATATTGGTACCAAAGTTAATTGATTGATTCTAATTGGTTTTATGGTCATGATGTTTTAAGTTTTGTGATTATTCTTGTAAGAATATAGAAATATGGAGAGAAGAGCTTCAGTAAAATTAGTGGCACTAAAATTGAATATATGGAATGTAATTTTAGTAACAATACGAGTAAAAATAATCGAGAAGTGAGGATTGAAACTAAAAGACAACAAAGATTGAATATTTTCATTACCTGAGTTCAATTATTGAAAAGGATAGAGAAGTTGAATATGATGTGATCTATAGAATGGAAGTATGTTGTTGATTTCTAACATATTATGTGATCAATGAATATTAGCATAATTGAAAAGAAAATCTTATAGTAAAGCTATTATGCCATCCTAATAGCTGTATCTTGTTGGATTGTGGAGTTAATTTGATCTTGCTTGATCCCATTTTTAAGCCATGCTTTGTTTTGTATGTGACTTGTTTTTAGGCTAAGAAAAACAAACTAGGACAATAACATTCAATCATTGTTGTAATTTGGCATAACTAGAGATTTGAAGGAAAGTTACTAACATCTGCATCTCTCGTCGTAACCCACTCCACACTTTCCAACTAGACTTTGTCAGTTTTGCATTCAAATTTCAGAAACTATCTTAAATTGAGTTATATACTTGTTGCATAGTTGTTGTCTGTTTGCTGAGAAAATAGAGGAAACTAGAAATAAAATGAACTTTCATAGGCAATAGTACTTTAGATATATCAATCAATTAGAGCTTGATTGGCTTGGTCTTAAACTGAGGTCATTTAAGTGGAGTTTATTGCTGGGCTCTTCATCCGACTATTGACATTCTGCTCACTGGGGGTCGTGACTATCTGCCGAGTATGATTCATTACCACATATAAGTTACAGCACACAATGTTACTTAATCTCTGCCTAAAGTGCATATATATATATATATAATTTGAATTTAATCTAGAAAGATTATTCTCTTACTCGGATGATACGTCATGCTTTCAGGTCTGGGATATCCGTAGCAAGATGCAAATTCATGCACTGTCTGGGTATGAGAACACCGTTTGCTCAGTTTTTACTCGACCTACTGTAGGCAAAACCTTTTCTGTGGTGGAGGAGAAATGATGGTTTAAATTAAAATAGGCACAGTTTTATTTTTTTTATTTTTTTTGCTTTGTTTTTTTCCTCTTTTCTTATGATATTATTTTTGCAATGTGTAGAGTTATTTTGATTAAATTTAGACCATATAATAATTTTTAACAGCTTTTACTAGTTTTCTTATCGAAACTTTCATAAGATATATGTAGGACACTTTCATGGCAATGATTAGTTTGTCAAACACATCAATACCTATCCGATGTTTACAAAAGGTTTCAGTATTGTTTTCTTGATTGTGATTGTTTACTTTAGGTTTTCTAGATGAAAAATAAAAGTTAAATACATATGGTTGTCATTGCAATTCATACGTAAGCACACGTTTATTGCTCTCAGCCTGCTACCATTTTGAGACAATATGGACTTGACAAGTATGGTGCCTTGTGTCTGTGACATTTGTGTGTCCATGACCACAAATCATATCTTGAAAGTGGGATTCTAGTGATTTAGGCTGAAGTTTGTATATATAGTTGTTCTTTATTACGTTGATTACAAGGGAAGCATTAATAGTTTGGTAAAATGAAGCTTGCCGCTTATGGTAAATAAACTTTCGGAATGATGGTGGTTGTGAAAAGAGAGTTAACTTGAAGATAATTGCATATGAGCTAAGAAGGTGAAATCATAAAAAATTTAGAAGTATTCTTAGATGCTGTGCCTTGTTGGAATTATGAGGACTCCATTCTATAGGTTGACAACTGTTAGCACGTATGTTGAGCTATTCTAAACATATTAGTTCCTTCTGAAATAAAATTGCATGTGCTGCTTAAAAAGTATTTTGTACCTCTAGACTAAATAAAATTGACAGAACCTTATGGGAGAGAAACTGTATAAAATTTCTGAGTGGCTTCAACATTAGAATATATTTCTTTATCTATTAGATATATTATACTTTTTAGTCATGTCAGAGATGCCAGAAGCGTAGGGTGATTTGATAATTTATGTGAAAGGACACAACACAAAAATATGCATCTTTTGGTGATCAACATGAAAGTGGAGAGAGACTCGGCCCTTTCCTCTAAATCTTGAAAGCATAGAGAGAGAGGCTTGTTCTCCGACAAGGATTTGAGCTCTCTGGTATGACAAAGTAGAAAAAGGTTATGCTGTGTAGTTTGTGCATTATAACATCTATTTATGGCAAGGAAGTCCTTTTCTTGTGAGCAAACCTCATTGTGAAATGTTTGTTCCAGGATCCACAAGTTGTAACTGGTTCTCATGATACAACGATAAAGTTCTGGGATCTTAGATTTGGTAATCAATATTTTGGTTTTTGATTTTGTGCTTTTGTTTGTGTTTCTTTTCTCGTTTAAGTTTCTAATGATAGCAATTGATTTTTGTTTGGCAGGTAAAACGATGACAACCCTTACACACCATAAGAAATCTGTGCGAGCAATGGCTTTACACCCCAAAGAGTATGTATCTATAAATATAATTTGTTCCTTTGTGAGGCCCTCCAGCTATGGTTGATGTAAAATGCTTCAATAATTATGTTTTCTGCTTTGACCTTAAACTTAATTTCTTGCTTTTATGCTCCAGGAATTGTTTTGCATCTGCATCAGCTGACAACATAAAAAAATTCAACCTTCCAAAAGGAGAATTTATGCACAACATGCTGTGAGTATCTTTTATTTTTTTAAAAATATTTATACATATACATCATTTGAATGCTACTGCAAGATGTACAGTTTGTTCTTCCCCATGAATATTTTGGCATTATTATCTTCTTTTTTTTTCCCCCTTCTTTCTTTCTGTCATTTTTATTCTCTTCATTATTATATTTTGGCAATGTTTTGGAAATGGGGAAATTGCTCCAACTCTATGAAGAGATTCAAAAATCTATTCTTCCAGCTAATAAAGCTCCTTGCATTGAATGATCTTTTTGCCACCTATATCAATCATCCCATACACCTCAATTTCAATAGGAGGTTTAAACATTGAGTATTGGTGCTTCTCTCTCTCTCTACCGGTGTAAAAAAAAAAAAAAAAAAAAAACTAAACATATTCTACGATGGGTAGAATAGGCCATTGTGTTAAATATTTAATGACTAGCAATGAGCATCGTGATTTGTCTCTTGAGTTAATGTCGTGCAAAAGTAGTTGTAGAAAAATTAAACATGACGTTTAAGATGCGTGGCTAAAAGTTTTAATGGCATGCTATGGCATGTCGTTGAAAGTGAATGACTTTCAATAACTGGTCATAATATGACGTTGCCTTATGCGTTAACCACTACAACAAAAAAACACATTTGGCGACCAATTCGTCTCCAAAAGAATTGGTGACAAGTACACAATTGGTCACTAAAGGCCAGTCACTAAAAGTATTGGCGACAAAATCATAAATTGTCACCGTATATAGACATTTAGCTGCAAACAAAAATGGCCGCCAAAAATCATATATTTTTTGTCGCTAAAAGGTTAAAATTTAGATAGACTATGTAGTTTTAGCGACAAATAAATGCGTCGGCAAAAGTACTATTTAGCAACAAAATTAATTTGGTCGCTAAAAACTTTTGGTTGCTAAAAGTTTTTGGAATAACCACAAACTTTATGTTGTCGCCAAATATATTAATAGCGACCAAAATACCACCTGTCACTAAAAATTCACTGCACAAATTTTAATTTTAATAGTTTTCCTGTTCAAAATAATCCAAAACACATGTTTTTCTCTACAAAATATATACACAAATGTAATGTAAATAATAATATACTTGTGCGAGACATTCATAATAGTTCAAGATTAATAGCTATTAAACAACCCAAAAAACATAATTACAATTCTCTGACAATCTAAAACATTCACACCAAAGTACTTACAAACTATTAACATCAAACCCACAAATACATTTCCAAATCCTATGTCAAAATATTTTCAATAACACAAAACCAAATATTTTGATGCTAAACATTTAACCAACAAGTCATTTACCAAAATCCTATGTCAAAATATTTGTAAAAACACAACACCAAATATTTTGATGCTAAACATGTAATTCATAAATCATTTACCAAAAATCCTATGTCAAAATATTTTCAAAAACACAAAATCAAATCTTCTGATGTAGCCTGAACTATTTTCCACCATTGCCAATCTGTCACATGAAAAAAATATATATATTAGATTGACAAAAAAAAAAAAAAAAAACCTCGATATGAATTTCACAATGTTAATTTTAATTTTGTAACGAGAAGTCCAATCGGGTGTTGTTTGCTCATACAAGTTCATTTAGGCTTGAACAAGCCGTCCGGGCCAAGTTTCGGTGGTTTCAGTGGTCATTTCGCAATTTCGACCTCCGAACGGACCTTTTAAGTCTTGTTTTTTACATTTTTCCTTCAAATTTTCTAACCAGAAATCCAATCGAGGTCCCGTTTATTTCTACAAGTCTATTTAGGCTTGAGCAAACTGCCCGTGCCAAGTTTTGGCAGTTTGGGTGGTTATTTCGCAATTTCGGCCCCCGAACGGGCCTTTTAAGTCTTGTTTTTTACAATTTTCAGTCTAATTTTCTAACTGGAAATCTAATTGAGGTCTCGTTTGTTCCAACAAGTTTATTTAGGCTTGAACAAGCTGTCCGTGCCAAGTTTCGGTGGTTTCGATGCTCATTTCGCAATTTCGGCCCCCGAACGAGCCTTTTTTTTTTTGGTGAGCAAGTCATAAAATAAAAACAATAAAATATACAAGTTTACAAGGGGCATACCCCAAGTACGCCCTACAACAAATAAAAATGACAACAAAATAGCCACATAAAACTACCACTGCAAGAACAAAAAACCACCCTCACAAAAGCGAGAGAACAGAAAATACAAGAACCCCTACTTTGCCCATATATCCTTTTTGTCCCCAAGTAAACCGTACCATCAAAGATAATAGATGGAAACTTGGGGTGGATATATGGGCAAATAAACATATACACGCCAGAAGCTCATAAAACATAACAGACATACACACAATACAAATGTAACTAAACTAAACAGCCAAAAAACCAGTTGAAAAAATGATAACCACCCGCGCTTGCTCCTAGTCTCTACCTCGAATGAAAACATGGAACCCAATAAGCATCTCGCTTCTCATAGCCATGACATCCTAGCAACTCAACCAAAGCCATGACGAAGGAAAAGATCTATCCTATGAAAAGATCCCGGCGGAGTCACATGAAACCTACATAGTCAATCACCATAATCAACGGTCTTAAGAAGTGTAGTGAAAACCATTAACCACTACATCAACAGACAAAATCGACAGCGATCCCATCATGAGAATAACCATCACATCCCCCAACTCCTTCCTATGCTGACCACAAGCCCCAATCCCCACGTTAGTGTCCCTTTCATTCCATGTCAGGAGTGGCTGAAGATCAATTAGGATGGGTCACGTGAAGACAAGAGGTAACCAGAAAAAACCAGTAGGCCGCTCATCTCCCAGCCCCTAACTCAGCTAGCCATCGAACCACAAATTCCCATAGCAACGACCCCTCAATCACTCTTGGTGGAGATGGCTCACTACCAATGTCATATAGAGTCACATGATGATCATGTAATCAATCATCATAAATAAACCGCTATAAACCATATACTGTTGTGCCATGGTAAAAATTTGTAGGCTCACTTAAAAATATATATTTGAAGTCAATTAAAAAATGAGCCCATATAATCCTAACCGACCAAAAAGAACCCAACCAAAAATTGGCCCTCTCTTTTTACACCACATGCAACACAGAATAAGTATTTATAATCTTTTGCCACAAAACCATTGCTGGTTTAACCTGAAACTTTGGGCCAAGAACAACCCACGTGCACCACTTTCCTGTGTATTGCTCTTGGATAATGTAGCCCATGTGTGCAGTGCAACTACATCACTCCATCCAAAAGACATGCAATATATCACTGTATATATATAAATATAATTGGACCACTTAACAAAGCGTGCGGATCCTCTAGAGTAACTCTCTAGAGTGATCTCCTAAAGTGGATGATCGGACGGTTCAGAATAGTCCTCACCAAAACGACGTCGTTTTGGTGAGGACTTTCAAAAAAAAAAAAAAAAAAAACCATTTTTTCCCGATTTCAAAATTCCCCCCAAGCTGAAGAATATCATTCCAGCGAGAAGAAGCAGACTTTCGCAGGAGAGAGGGAAGAAAAGTTACAGAACAGGTCGCCCCGCCGTGTATCCCGTCGCCCCCCCGCGGTCGCTGCCGTCGTGCATCCCGTTGAACTCCACAGAATAGTGCATCCCATTGAACTCCATAGAACAGAATAGGTACAAAGATCTTCTCTTTCCATAAATCTATGTATGTATATATGTATATATGTCAACAGTGGTGAATGATGTAGAATGTATCTGAGCTATTTGTGTTCTTATCATCAACTTGGGTTCATACTTTTGCCATATACCAAATGGAACTGTGACGTTGTGCATTTACTATGGCATTCCTTTTTAGGTCACCAGTGCATCAACTTCGAATAGACCTAATATGAAGTCCGGCTAAAAATTCCCTTTCCTTTTCTTGACATGATGTGTAATTGCATGGTAATTAAGTGTCTGAAATTTTGTAACATGGCAACTTCTAATATTTTACCGGGAAGATTAAAACAGAAACCATATTTTATTGATTCATAAATATGAAAATAAAAAAATAGGTCAGATATATATATTTGTCATATATTGTTTTTTTAAATTGTATTTTATGCCCGTATCTTTACTATAAGATGTTTGGTCTGCATTGTGGGACTTCAACCTTGCACCTAACAAACTTCCAGATTTGTTTATCTTCCAGATTTCTTGATCTGTCTAAATTGAAAAGGATTAGCCTTAAATTAAAGCTTTGGTGATGTATAGTTGATGAGAAGTAACCTCACAGTTGAAAATCAATTATTAATTTAGGAAGTGTCTATTGTGCTTGTTTTCCTTTTGTCAATTTGGTTTCTAATTAAATGTGAGGAAGAAGAAGAAACTTAAAATGTTTGTTATTAGAGTATTTTCTATTTAAGGCCCAAGGAAATACAAATTAAACTAAGCATATGATCAGTCTTTTTAGTTTTGTTGCACTTATTTTCCTTTGAACTCTTAGTTAGCAAACATGGGATTTCAGATTATAGAAAATGACTAGTTAGAAATATGGAAAGGTAGCTGATGCTTTACTAGTAAATTTATCTGTTTCATTTCTTATTTGGCCTGATATGGTCTAGTAATTATTGATCATAAGAGTGTAAAAATTATTAATTAGTAGAATTGTTCCTTGTTTGTTTATATATATTCAGGTGGTACGTTTGTTATTCGTTAATTATCTTATTCGGTTTGTATACAGTTTTTATGCTAATATTGAGCACTTCTTTATTTTTAAGTGACTTGGCACATTGATATGGAACCTAACAATCATGAGAATGACGAGGGTGAGTGTGATTGGAAGCCTAGAGTTCGCATGACATTTGATACAGAACAAGAAGCATATGATTTCTATAATACTTATGGAGGAAGGTTGGGCTTTAGTATTAGAAGGGGTTATGTAAACAAGAGCAAAGAGGGGCAAATCACTTCAAGGCAATTTGTTTGTAATAAGGAAGGATTTCGGGTTGTCGACAAGTGAGATCCATTAACAAAAAATCCTAGGCAGGAAATGAGGACTGGTTGTCAAGCCCGACTTGTCATTAAGTGGGATAGGAATATTCAGAAACTTTTTTGTTAGTGATTTTGTTGAACAACATAATCATATCTTCGTACCAGCAGAATGTACGCATATGTTATACCATCCCAAAGGAAGATATCTACATCACAGGCAACCGAAATAGATTTAGCCGAAAAATCTGGAATCCGTCTTAATGCTGCATTTGAGCTCATGGGTAATGAAGTTAGTGGAAGGGAGTCGCTTGGGTTTACAAAACTTGACCAAAAAAATTATTTGAGAACGAAGAGGCAAAACAGTTTAGCATATGGGGAGGCAGGTAGCATTTTGCAATATTTTCGTGACAAATCATTGGAGAATCCATCTTTTTTTTACTCGGCCCAATTAGATAACGAGGAGCAGATTACGAACATATTTTGGGCCGATGCTCAGATGATCATGGATTATGGGCAATTTGGTGATGTTGTCACTTTCGACACTACTTACAAGTTAAATAGTTCACACAGACCATTTGCGTCTTTTGTTGGATTAAACCATCATAGGGAAACTGTGGTATTTGGTGCAGCTTTGATGTATGATGAGACCGCCGATTCTTTCGTATGGCTTTTTAGAAGATTCTTGGAGGCAATGTCAAGTAAGGCTCCAAAAACAATTTTTATGAATCAGGATGCTGCAATGGCTAAGGCCATACCTATTGTCATGCCTAACACAACCCACCACCTTTGCACTTGGCATTTGATGCAAAATGCATTAAGGCATGCAAATTCTATCTTCAAGGATAAGGCGATGAAGGATAAGGGGATGAAGAGTGTTTTATACACGTTTATGTACGACATTGAGGATAAGGAAGAGTTTATGTTAAAATGGAAGGAAATGCTTGACAAGTATGAAGTAACAGATAATCATTGGTTGAAGTTAACATTTAGGGTCAAGGAAAAATGGGGTTGGCCATCAGTTAGAAATCATGGGGTGCGGGCATGAGTAGCACCCAACTTAGTGAATCCTTTAATGCTTTCTTGAAGGATTTCATTCAGTCTGATCATAACTTAATGCAATTTTTCATGCATTTTGATCGAGTTCTGTCTGAGAAAAGGTACAAAGAGTTACAAGCTGAATATGCTCTATGCCAAAAGTTGCCCAGGGTAAATATTAAAGTGAAGATTATGGAGCAAGCTACAGCTGTTTACACAAATAAAATTTTTGAAGAATTTCAGGATGAGTATGTCAAGTCCCTTGAAGTCAACATTGAAGAAATTGAAAATGATGGTGAGAGTACCGTTTATACGGTTATTGATAGTGATGGTATAAAGGTGAGGAAGGTGAGGCAGGAGTGTGATGATTCGGTCACTTGCAATTGTAGGAAGTTTGAAATGAAGGGCATTTTGTGTAGTCATTGTTTGAAGATCCTTAGAGAAAGACTCAATTTGAAAGAGATTCCTTCACAATATATTCTGAAGAGATGGACTAAAAAAGCAAGATCTGAAAATGTGAAAGATAGGTGTGGGCATGATATTTAGGTTGATGTAAGATTGCATCAAACTTCACGTTATAGGTCATTGATGGCAATATTCAGATCAGTAGCGTGTAGAGCTTCTGAAAGTGAGGAAACATATAATTTGACGGTCGAGAAAGCGGATGAATTAATTGCAGACATTGAAACCATGTTAAGCGCAAAATTCAATATGCCTTGTTCAGATACTATTCAACAAGAAAGCCCCCCCAACACATGCCCCGAAAGCTTTGAAGTGGATGGTGTAGCGGATAAAAATGTAGTCCAAGCAAAAGGACTCAAGAGAAAAGAGTGCACTAGCAAGGGACGAAGGCGAACAAAAGGTGGTTTGGAGCTTGCGTTGGCAAAGAAAAATAAAACAAGTTCACATAATGCTTCTCAAACTTCCATGTCTGTTACTCCTCAAACTCCTCCCTTATTTTCAGCAAGTGCTCCTGAAGCACCTCCCTTAATTCCTCAGTCGGCTCCTTTATTTTCAAGTGTTCCTCAACTTCCTCCATTCTCGCCGAGTGTTCCTCAAGTTAGAGCTTCTCCGTCTCAATTTATGTATCCCGCCTATGATGTAAATTAGTTTAATAAAAAGTTTTAGTACGGATTTGTAGCTGACTATTATCATTTTAGATTGATATGTGTTTATTATTGTTGCAGCCAAGTTTTCTTCATCACAATATGCATTTTTCAATGCCATCGATGTATTCCGTCCATGGAACCTATCAAGCATTGCTTAACAATGCAAGTAGTTATCACTCGCATGCTTCAAATAGTCCCGCATGTAGTGAAGTAATTTTTTTTTCACCTTCCCTCTTTTATTTTGTCATTCATTCATGTAAAGTTCCATTTTATTTTATGGTTCCTTTGATGTAATGTTATTTTATTTTTTTTGTAGGTACTATATGGTCGTGGTCGTGGCCGTGGCCGTGGGCATGGGGATGTGGATCACACGCCAACATCTTAGCGTTATTTTGTTTTGGGAATTTTTGTGAATTTTTTGTTGGATATATAATATTCAAAACCTTTCATTAAACTGTTGCTAAAAATTTGCTGATACCGTCCCTGAAATGTTGAATTCTTGCTAAAAATTTGGGTTCAATTGTTGCTTAAATTTTGATGCAATTTCTGTTCAAATATTGCTTGAATAATGCTGAAATGTTGCTGTCTGAGTTGATGAAATGTTGCTAAAGTTATTTGCTGAAATTTTGAAATGCTGAAATGTTGAAATGCTGCTGCATAATGCTGAATTTATGCAGAATAATGCTGAATTTATGCTGAATAATGCTGAAATTGATGCACACTATTGCAGAATAGTGCAGAATTTATGCTGAATAATGCTAAAATTGCTGCACACTCTTGCAGAATAATGCTGAATTTATGCTGAAATTTGGGTTCAATATAAGCAAAGTTGATAGCTTTCTGTTTTGGACCTTGCTCTGTGTTATGGAACTTATTTCATTATGTATGGGGATTTGTTCATTTGACCTATGGGGAATTGTTCTGGAACTCATTTGTTCATTTTATTATGTTATCAGCATCATAATTTTGCATTGGAATCATATATGCAGTATGTTGACAAGTCTTGTAGGTTACATTTGCTTTGTATTTGATTTTTTGGGTGATTTAATGGTTGTTTTGCACAATGATCTATGGAAGTAGCTAATATAAAAACAGAACGACAAAATGAGAATCATGTCTTCTGTAGATACCCATTCTGCACATAAAACCTCCTACACAAACTTGTTCATTGAACACATTTCAATAGCTCATGTTCAACCTGTTAATCAATATACCTGTTTTTTTCAAACCATCACATATAATACACACTGTTATACAACATTCAACATTTTCAATAGATTTCAGAAACCTGTTATACAACATTTTCAACATTTCAACATTATTCAACATTTCAACATTCAACATTACACAACATTTCAGAAACCTGTTATATAACATTCAACCTGAAGTAATAGATTTCAGAAACTGTTCATTCAACATTTCATCTCAATCAAACATGTTACACACTTGTTTTTGCAAACCATCGGATTTTGAAGCACCAAAAAAAAATTCCAAAACCTAAGAACTGAGTCATTTACATGATAAAGTACCAAAATACACAAAATATAATGACATAAGTCATTGCCTTGAAAATCTTCTCAATCCTTTGAACCCTTCTCCTCAGATCATTAATTTCTTCTGTTCTTGAATCTGTCGGAGGTCCATCATTGGCACGGATTGATGAGGTAATGTCGTCGTCGTCATCATTTGCGAACCACTTGAAGTAATTGCAGTGGTCGTTCGTAGTCTACAATGGACAAAAATCAGTTAATCAATAAAGGACAAATGAAATTTGTAAAAAGTAACAGATTCATTTATATAACAGGTACTTACATATTTTCTTGGGCAAACAAAATAGACACGTCCTTGATTTCCATTCGCATTGGTTTGTACAACACGCACGGAAGCTATTCTTCCACAATTACAAAACCTTGCCTTGAATCTTAAGTTCATATTGTGAATAGAAGATGAAGCCATTATTTTTCTGAATTAAAAATACCAACATATTTCTGAAATGTCAAGAATTAAAGGCTGCTGATTTGTCTGCATAAAAAATCAAAACAGATTTCTTTCTCAATAATTAAAGGCTGCTGTTTTATTTCTCAAGAATTCAGAAATGTCAAAACTTAGACATTCTACTTGAATTTTGTAGAGCCTATTCCTCTACTTCAGTATACATAACTAACAGATTGATAGCACAAATCACACAACTTGTGCTCTGTGTCACAAGCTAGTACAATTCATTGACAGATAATTTGGTTCAAAAGGGCTGAGGCTACAAAGGAAGTATAATTAGGACTATATGTAGATGTATGTAGCTAATCACTTAACATATGCAAAACAAAAAACCTACCAATCAATTTCTCATATAAAAGATCCTTTATCTATTTGAATCCTTGTGTAATTATTGTAAAAGATTTCTGCTTCCCACTTCTCAAAATAGGAGGAAAAAAAAAAAGATAAGAAAAGAAAAGAAAAGAAAAGAATGATAATAAATAATGCACTCAATCCACTACTAAAATTATGTAATTTTAATACCTCCATAGTCATATAAACACTTGGTTAAACATAGTCATCTACGAAAAGTTAAAAGTGAGAGTCCTTAATTACACTCTATATTCACAGTTCTCACATCCTTTTGGAGGAAAGCTTTATTTAATAATTGGACATTATTTTGTTTTTTATTATTTGTTGTTGTATTTTCACACTGGGAATCACTTTGCCTTTTCAACCATGAAGATAAGCCAGCATACTCAAACATGTAGGACCTAGCACATGATCCTTACAAGATAAAATAATTTTTCATATCATATCATATCATGGCCAAATATGCATTCATTTATGTCAAGCATAATCGTTAATTATAACAAATCATATCACTAAGTGATTAATTAGATTTATCATTCGTATTTTTGTAATATTTCACATCAATTTGACATTTAGGCCACATACCAACAATTAACAAGGCTTTGTTTGAGTATACATCACCATGACATTTAGGAACAACCATCTACGTACTTATCTTCTACTACATAGGCTTTCATGTTAATCAATATGTAAATAAGTCCATCTGCAGGTTTAAATGTTATCTCAATACACAATTAACTCAACATATTAAAGGCTGCTGATTTGTCTGCATAAAAAATCAAAACAGATTTTTTTCTCAAGAATAAAAGGCTGCTAATTTATTTCTCAAGAATTTAGAAATGTCAAAACTTAGACATTCTACTTGAATTTTCTAGAGCCTATTCCTCTTCTTCTGATTACTTGTTTTTTACAGGCTACTACAGTTGAAGAAGAAGGAGGAGGTAATCTATCTTTTCAAGAACACATGAGAGGACAATTTTGAAGGAAAAGGGAATCTGAATCTGGTTTTTCTTTTTTTTCTTTTTTTTTTATCTTTTCAGATACCCAAACTTGACAATTCCAATGCAAGAAAATTGAAAGAGAGTAGGACTATAGCTGTATTGCATAAAAACTATTCTTTCTTCTATAAAGAGAAAGGGGCAAAACAGAATGGAAGCTTCTAAAGAACAAGAATTCACCATCGGTGTGAAGGTGGTGCTACATTTTCTAAAGAACACTAGTGTCATTTGGGTCAGGTAAGAAAGCTGAGCAGAGCTATGAAGAGTTCATTTAACAGCTAATGGACTAGAACAAATAGTGAAACTGAGGTAGGATTGGGCGTGATGTGTGTAGAGTTCGAAGGAGCAAATTATCAAACAGTTGGTGTGTGAGCATTCCAACTGAGTGAGTAAGACAACAATGTTGGTATTTCCCTTCTTTTTCTTTGTTTTCCAGGTAACCAAACAGAGGGTAACGAAACAAAGAACAAACTCAATTTTGAGCAAAACCCAGATCACCAAACACTGAAATAAGATTGAAATACATATATATCTACACACATATATGTGTATAAAGG